CATTTGACCCCAGTACTCTTTCCTGCCATGGCAGGGGGTCGGACTAGATGATCTGCCCAGGTCCCTTCTGACCCTAGAAACTATGAAACTATGAAATGGGAGTCCAGCTGCCATGCCGCCCCAACCCCGCTGTGCGCCCGAGGGTGGCAGGACCAGCTGCACGTGCCACGGCACAGGCTATCCTCCGTACCTGGCTCCCCCCGGTGTAGGGAGACATTTTGGATGCACGTTATTACAATTGTTGCTAGTTTTTTTATGCTTATTTAATTTTCACAAGACACCGTCCTTAAAACGTTGAGAACAGCCTTGGAAACAACCACCCCTTAACACTGTGCCATGACACATAACAGAGCACAAGCGTTGATATATTCACTATTCATCCTACAGTTCAGTTGCTTGTGTTGTTCATTGTCAGGTTAAAATGATGAGAAGTGAATTAATTTAACACGATAGATTTAGTTGAGGTGTGTTTGTTCTATACTTAGCAAAGAGAGCCTGTGGCCTATGTCATTGATAATCGTTGCATTAATTATTTGATCTTGGCACTGTCAGGCCTATACAAAGTAGTTTTGGTTAAGTTCTTACTTTCCCCTGGCTCCTGTCTTTGCATATGGGGCCTCGTTTTTTAAGCTTTCATCAATATAAAAAAATCAATCTTATTGATTGATTCTTCCACTATGTTTGATCTCCTGCCATGAGTCCCCCAGCTGCGGTTGCTTGCATGTTTTGGTTTTTTAGACTGATTTTTCTTTCTTATTTGAGTAGCATCAACAACTTGCCAAACTCTTTACAAATAGATAAGAAGATAATGTTAGTGCCTCAAAAGGCTTACAACCCAGCTATTATTCCATAAGCCTTTTCCCCACAGCCTATTGACAGGGTCCTTGAAATCTCTTTTTTTCCTCTGAGACACAAAACAGGGATCAGTAGTCAGATTAATGGGAGCATCCTGGTAAATTTGGTTGGCGAGCTGGCCAATTGACCTGAGAAACAGTCAATTTACTGCCTGTTTTTTGAGTGGTCAAAGATAATAGCAATTTTACCCCCAAAATTACATTTGTTTGTAGTTTTCTTGACAGAAATGTGATTTTTAAAATTTATTTTTGACACATTTCTTAATGGGAATTCTGTGCTTTTTCTGTAAACCGATTGGCAATTTTTAAACAATTTTTGACTGATATTTGACTGGTCAATTGACCGAACTTTATTTGACTGGGCAAATACCTAACCCTAATGGAGAGGGAACTGACTGCTTTGCCTTACTCCTTCCTGTCTTCTCTTTCCAGATAACTGTTGCAAAACAACATCAGGTGGATTGTTTGTGTAAGCTGCTGCCCGCTACCAATCCAAGTGCTATATCACATATAAATTTGATAAAGCTGAAAACCTTAAAGATGAAGCTCCTTTTACTGACTTCCAAAAGTCAGATTACAAGCTGGGTAAACTCACAGAAATTAGTGGATGAAGTTAGCCTACATGTTCACATTTCTTGGGCAAATGACAACACTGTGGTGACAGAAGCAAGGGCTGACTCCTTTCCTCATCATCCTTCTGCTGTTGAAAACCAGGTGATTAAAAGACCAACCTATTCATCAAGCCATATGTCAAGTGACTAGGTTCAGGACTCATTAATAGACAGCATAAATCTTAATAAGCAACCTCACTGAAAATGCTAATGTTATTGGACCAAAGACACCAAGTTATCATCCATTTCTGAAACTCGGAGAGCACTTGCTAGATTTAACTGATGAAAAAGAGGAAGAACATATTAATACCTCTCAGCATTTTTATTCCATTGTTGATTATAACAGCAGCAAAAGACGTCAAACCTAAAACGGCTGAACCGTTCGCATGTGTGCATGAGTGAGCAAATGACAACAAAGGTTTGATGTTGTGTCCTTTTGGAAAGAAGAGGTGTTAGAAATGTATTCAGCCTGCGACTGTGGGTAGGAATAACGAAGGGAAAAAGAAACTGCCATAACATATAACTGCAGTTGTGAAAGAGGGCGGGTTTTCGATGGGTGTCTGTAGGGCTAGCTGTCTACTGACACAATTCCCAGCACTTTAATATCTGCGCACACTGTTGAATTATTCCTCCTTGTGCAATGTGAGCCACGGGTAATTTAAATTCTGTTCCAAGTAAGACTATAAGTTGGATCTTGGCTGCTCCAACAGGAATTGATGGGGGGCAGCTTTCTTTTCTGTTCACAAAGCTCTCATCAATAAATTAGGTGACTGTGGCATTGATGCCTGCACAGTTGGATGGGTAAAAAACTGGCTGATGGGGCGCACCCAGAGAGCAGTGGTGGATGGGTTGTACTCAACCTGGCGAGATGTGAGCAGTGGGGTCCCCCAGGGCTCGGTCCTCGGGCCCGCACTATTTAACATCTTCATCAGCAACTTGGACGAGGGGGTGCAAAGCACACTGTCCAAGTTTGCTGATGACACTAAGATGCGGGGCGAGATGGACACACTTGAAGGGAGAGAGAGGCTGCAACTAGATTTAGACAGACTACAAAAGTGGGCAGACGAGACTAGGATGGGGTTCAACGCAGACAAATGCAGGGTGCTGCACCTGGGGAGAAGGAATCCACAGCACACATACAGGCTGGGGAGTTCCCTTCTTGAAAGCACAGAGGCGGAAAGGGATCTCAGAGTCATTATTGACTCCAAGATGAACATAAGCCG